CTGCTGAATGACTTTTGAATATCTGCTGAATAACAGCTGAATATCTGCTGAATGTCTGCTGAATGATAGCCGAATATCTGCTGAATGACTGATGAATATATGCTGAATGTCTGCTGAATGACTTTTGAATATCTGCTGAATATCTGCTGAATGACTGACTAATATCTGCTGAATGACAGCCAAATATCTGCTGAATGACAGCCAAATCTCTGCTGAATGACTGACGAAAATATTTGTTGAATGACAGCCAAATATCTGCTGAATGACAGCCGAATATCTGCTGAATGACAGCCGAATATCTGCTGAATGACAGCTAAATATCTGCTGAATAACAGCCGAATATCTGCTGAATGACAGCTAAATATCTGCTGAATAACAGCTAAATATCTGCTGAATGACAGCTAAATATCTGCTGAATGACAGCCGAATATCTGCTGAATGACAGCTAAATATCTGCTGAATAACAGCCGAATATCTGCTGAATGACAGCTAAATATCTGCTGAATAACAGCTAAATATCTGCTGAATAACAGCCAAATATCTGCTGAATGACAGCTGAATATCTGCTGAATGACAGCCAAATATCTGCTGAATGACAGCTGAATATCTGCTGAATGACAGCCAAATATCTGCTGAATGACAGCTGAATATCTGCTGAATGACAGCCGAATATCTGCTGAATGACAGCCGAATATCTGCTGAATGACTGACGAAAATATTTGCTGAATGATGGCTAAGAGGTGAACTACGGAATTTTTTGGAAGAAGCAGAAACTGAGCAAAACAAGGAATAGCTTAAAACAGCACTTTAGACCTCAAGATCAGCAAAACTGGAACTGAAAGCTAAAGTTATTAAAATCTTGTATCAAAGCTGAAACAAGAACAGTAGCTACTAAAGTAAACTGCCAAAACAGTAAATGAGAGCTAAAATTATCTAAACATTTGTTAAGTGGCAATATTAGCAAAGCAGTAGCTAAAATCCAAAGCAAAGCAGAACAAGAAAGTAAAGCTAAAACATATTCACCATGAAAGGTCAATCCCAAGCTGRTGCAGCCCCACATGGAGCATCACAGCACTGAGCAACAGGCCGACGCTGAGGCTGAAGAAGAACAGCAGGGGGCGCCCTTCAGGTACTCTGCGGCTCAGAACAATCCCCAGAATTAACCCTGGAAACAATCAGTCCACATGAGCTCTAAAATATACTTCATGTTACTGAATTTCTACTAACACACTAATTTAAGACAAAAAATCTAACAAATTATGTTTTAATGTGATTGTTTTCGTCATAAACGTCCATCTGTGCTCTAGTTCATGTAAAAATTCTGGATTTCAAACCTGCGATGCACCCAGCAATGACCTGATGAGGGAAATGAGCGAGGATGAAGACCCTGGATAGTCCAACTGCAACCAGAATCAGCCCGTAAAACAGGCAGGGAGCAGCTGACAGCAGCACACTGAAGGCCAATAGAAAGACAGTCAGTGTAACTTTACAGCCAACACAGGGTTAGTGTTAGGTTGTAGTTACCTGTGCGTATGAGAGTACAGAAATGACCAAAGCGAGGACACCACAACCCACCAGACGGCTGCTGTCACCATCGCATGTCCTGATGGACTCCCTGAGAGACATATGCCAACTTTGGAGCTCTGACTGTACGTTGAATCAAGAGCTGCCAATGACTAAGATGTATTTCATTTGGGATTTAAGGACTTCTCACCTGGGCCGGTTTCACAGGTAGATGGGAACTGATGAAGCTCAGGTTGCACGCTGACAAATAAACGGGATTCACCGATCCACCAGAAGGGCCTTTCTCCAAACAACAGCCTGGGAAAACAAAGATATRAAGTACCATAAACACAAAGGTGCATAATGAGGGTAAAATGGCTACACTAAAAGTGAAACATTGATACTTTTAGGTACTGATTATGATCTTAGGTAATAAAAGGAAATAGCCACGATTTGTGTGTGTGTGTGTGTGTGTGTGTGTGTGTGTGTGTGTGTGTGTGTGTGTGTGTGTGTGTG